TTAGATTATCGCGAATTTATCCGATTATTTTTGTAAAAATATTAAACTTGCCATTCCTTTCCAAAAGATATAATCTATAGAACATTATTCCTCTCCTCAGTTTCCTGTGAGAATTTTACTATTTAATATTGTTTTTAAATTAATCTATTTTAAATACTATTAAAAATTAAAATTATATCGTTTAATTTTTCCACTTTGGAGGGGGAAGCTAGTTGGGAGGATTCTAATTTTAAGGATGGTTTTTTGCATCTGCTAATTTCAAAGATCATATATTTTTCGTGTCTCTGGGAAGTAATTCTTCACGCAGCTTAGAAAAAGGTTATACTAAAAAGAAAGTTAGGAAGGCTTATAACATTGATTTCATTAAAAAAATCATATAATCTTCAAAAATGTAACTCGGTTATATAAACCTTTACAATTTTTCGCGTTTTAATTATTGAATTTATTCCTGCTTGGGTAATGTTTATCAGATGGTTTATATCGTTCTCATGTGAAAAGAAATTAAGAATGGCGCTTTCGCTTCAACCCAATAGACGACGAACGATTTAGAAATTTTTGAGAAATTTAATCGATATTTATATTTAGCACAATTTATTAACATATCGCGTGACCTATCGACTACCATTTTTTTGGAAACTATTAATTTTTTAAAACATTTTATTGGAAAAATATTAATTTGAAAACAAATTTTAATTAAAACTTTATATAAAAAATTAGATACATATTTAATCGAAATTCATGGCAAGACGAAGTAATATATATTTTAATTTTAAACTTTTAAATCGCTTAAAATTCATAAATTTTCATTCTGAAGTGAGTAAACGATTCTAATAATAAGATATTAGATTTGAAAGTTATCACATGAATAACGAATAATTCGATTCTATAAAAAAATACCGGACTGAATTTGTTTTTAATAATAGTATTTGTTTTAACCAAAAAAAAATATTGATTTAATTCAATTTAACACCATTAAGCAATTTGGACTGGATTAAAATGAATTGATAAATATTTTATATGCTAAAATATATTAGATATATTATATATTTTTTGCCTCACTTTTTCCTTTTTTTATAAAAAAATATTATTCGTTATTCGATCATAAATTTAAGAATATTTTATTCGATCTTTGCGAATAACTTATTCGATTTCTTTCTTTTTTTTACAACGACCAAAATTTATTAAAATGCAATAAGATCCATTTATTTTTAATATATATTAACGGAATTACGTGTTCGAGTCCGATCTACTATATATTATCCTCCCAAGGGCAGGCCACCTAGTTGGCTTTAGGAAAAACATTTTTCTTACTGGATTTGAACCCAGAATGATAAGATTGCGATACATTTGATGAACCGAATATGTCATTAACGCTACTCGAAACATGAATTTTTTTGCATGTAACAGATAAAATTACAACGCTATCTAATATCGAGGTGGGGGGGGGGGGGGTTAAATAAATCTTTGGAAAGTAACGAATAAAATAACGAAATTACTCTTTTGAGTAACGTAAGCGTTACTCTTTATTTATTTATTTTTTAAAAAAATTTAGGACATTAATAGAAAAAAATACATTTATTTTTATTGAATAAAATAAAGATATTTTAAAATATAAATATTAATTTTGGCCGAGTTTTTAGATCATACCTAACCTAACGATTAATATAAGATTATAAATCTATTTTATTAAATATAACATTGTACCCTTCTTATCGGCTGTACCAACTAAGCGTCTTTACTTTAAGTGCTTGATTAAAATTTTTGAAAAACTGAATTTCAAAAAAAAAATAAAAAATTTGGTTTTCGAATTTAAAAAGTAATTATTTATTTTTTGAAATTAATTAATATTTTTTTTTCTGAATTTCAAAAAAAAATGTCTTCATTTTTAAAAATAAAATTTGTTTTTGTTTGTGTTTGTGTTCAAGAAACACTATAAGACGCAGTTTTCTGCCATTTTAATTGGAGATCTTTAGGCCCACTTATTGTAGGGCTATATTATAAGTTATAAAAATAAATTTTTGGTGGTTTTACTTATTTTTTTCTTAAAATTTTGAATTATATAGTCATTCTTTTTAAAAAATCTATTGGCTCTTTTATTAATTCTTTCAAATTATTCTTTATAGTAATATATTATATACTTTTTTTTGGGGGGGGGGGCAGAGAGGGGTGGGGAATGTGTAGGGGGGAAATTTCCCTTGGTTTACGCGCCTGGTTACTTGTTATCTATTCTAATTATTACCTATTAAATAATTTTTCGCTATTTTTTTAAGGTGACTATTTTTTTTAAAGGTCGTCTTGATATTTATAAAAAAGACATAATAGTGTCCAAATAATTTTTCAATTTTACTTTTAATGACAAACATATTTTGATAATTTTACTTTTTTTTCAATGTCATTTATAGCTAACTAATAATTGATTGTGTTATATCAAATAATTTTATAATTTGCCGGACAAAATTAATTCCCCCTTTCTCTCACAAAATTCGAGATTTCTGGACGTTTGCGCATCATGGTTAAGCACGCCACTGTTCGAACCACAATGAGACGCCGGTTTAAATTCTTCTTCAAAAGTTTGTTATTTCCCGCTAAATTCGTATTCAAAAGTTTGTAGTTTGTCCCCTAAAAATTTTTTTTGCTTTCTTTCATATTTCAATCTTGGATCTCGCATTTAAAAGTTCATCTTTTCAAAACCATTTTTTCGGCTTTTTATATTTGCAAATATTCATCAAACCTATCTATCGGTAAAACATTTAATTTTTTTATAAGTTGATTTCCTTTCTTTCCCAACAAAATTTTTTTATTATTTAGAAATCTCGTAGCTTTCCAAATTTGTGAAATGGAAATTGATATTTTTTTATTATAATTAACCCATTTTTCTTTTTCTTATTTTCCTCGATAAAATTAATGTAGGCATCCGTCCAAATTTTATATAATTTATAATCCATTTTTATTTAAAAATATTTAATAATTCTTCTCTTTTTATTCATATATATATATATGAAATGCATTTATATCTAGCGAAGGTCAACTGGACCGGTTTAAACCGCTTCCCAATCAGACTTCATTTGTCTGATAAAATAATTAGATTTGGTTTTTAAAATTAGATAATCTGAATGCCGTTGGCATCTCTTTTTTTTGAAATATTTTTTGGGAGTATTCCGGGAATGCAATTTAGGGGCAAATACAATTTTTAAACTACTTAAAAATGATTTAAATTTTTTAAAAATTCCCCAATGACAGTTGTTATTCCGGGTCGCAACGAAATTTCTCTACATATATGCAATTTTTGGAATGCTGGACCAAAACGCCCCAATTTGGTATTTATGGCTGGTGTCTTCTCGGTCCGACTTGCTAATTACGTTTCATCAAATAAATTTTTTTGAATCATTTTACCCCTTTAAATTGATAAATTTGAGGTGAACCTCGGGGTCAATAAAACAACTAAGAAAACCAGGCTTTTTTTTCTCAAATATTATGTTTTTTTTTAAATTATTTTTTAAAAAAAATCGGTTAAATTATTTATTTTGACTTTGATTTTAATTCAATTTTGCTAGCTAGCCTTTACTTATTTTGTCCACAGCTGTTTCCGGATTTGATTTCAAAGTTATATTTATTTTGCCACGTCCTTAGCTCAACAAGTTTTCTTTCTAATTTAAGAATTAATGCTATCAAATGTACGTAAGACTCATTACTAAAATATGTAACCAATTTGCGTTAAATAACATTCACAAAGAAAATTTTATGGATGGATCATAAGAAAAATATGTATCACTGTGCCATTATTATAAAAAATAAGTATTTTTTTTTAAAAAAAAAAGTGGGAGGGTAGTCTTCAAAATCTAAAAATCTGTTCACTTCCAAAGTGATTCCAAGGCCAGGGCTGCATTTATAGTACACGCGTTCTGTTTAAGCATTATTTCAAAATAAAGACAATAAATAGGTATAAATTATAAATATGGTGGAGCGTTGTGATGATAACGTTATGCGTTGATAAAAAATATGCGATTACGAATTATAAAAATAATAATAATAACGAATTCGATAAAAAGGCATATGTTTTTTCTTAAAGATTACGTAAAATAATTATTTTAAATTATTTTTAAAACTGAATCAGCGGGAATAACCGTTAAATAACGCGTTTAATATAAATGCAGCAGGCCTCACAGTAAGCGCTAATACCTCAATGTCGCTCAAGCGATGCGTAATTTATCGCTAAACGATGGCATAGCTGTATATTTTTTCAATTATATATTTAGTTTAAACAGCGCGATGCGATGTCTATTCTCGCGTTTACTATAAAGGAATTTGAAGCCCTTGAGACACGATATCGCTGAAGCGATGCATAGTTCATCGCTATCAATAGATATTTAGTTATAAGGAGCACAATGCGATGTCTATTTTGCGCGTTTACTATTAAAAAGAGACCTAAAAGCTCATTTATTAAAAGCTTTATGTTTAAACGATGCAAATAAAGCAACGCTTGAATATAACGCGTTTACTATAAACTAGGTCTAAGGCTATACAAGCGCGTTATAAAGTTTTAAAAATTGAGATTTGGCAGTCATTAAAATAAAAAATTTAAACTATAAATATATATTTAAAATTAAACGGGGTGGATAGTATTTTATTATATTTTATAAATTATATTAAGTCTGAAAATTTCTCGATATTAATACAACTAGTAAGCCTAAGCAGATGATAAAAATTTAAACGGTAAGCGCTCGTAATATCTAAATTTCATGCAAACAATATTTTGCAATGCTTAGATTTTTGGCTTTCTATCTTCAATAAGATTTAATGCTTACCATAATGAAACGCCATTAAATGCGAGTCAGCTATTTTGTATTGATACACGTTCAAAAGAACGAATCTTCTGCTTAGGGGATATCTTTTTTAACAATAACGCTAGAACGTTAATTATCCCAACATTTAACACCGTTTATAAAAATAAATTAGCTTTGTACATAGAGTAAAATAACCAATCTTTTATTTTCATTTAGCTCTTATCTCGGAATACAAGAAAAGCATATCTTCCTCATCAATCGCGCCAAATAATCCCTGCATAGATAGCGGTAAAAATAAAAAAAACGGCATGAGTCACAGCAGTCCTCTAGACCAGCACAAATGTGCCGATGCCCGTTGCTACGCCAATCACAACTGTTCGGCCAGTTGCGGTTCCTCGATATTCCCTCTACAAGAAAAGTGCCACCAGATGTTGCACGGTGGCGTTCGCAAGGGGGCTCTGATATACGGTAACGTGAGTGATTGTATGGGCCGAGCGGCTCGCAAGATAGAAACCAACCAGGGCTTTATCTCCGCTCGACAATTTGCGACTAGCCGGCCCCAACTATCCTTCGTGCTAGCTGTCACCTCTTTTTTCCTCTTATTGCCGCTTACCACCTTTCTAAGCTTCGTAATTGGCTCGTTTTGCGTCACTTTTTTTGGGTTCGTTCTAATTGAAGGTTTAATATTAAATTTTTTAATATAATTTGATATTATATGTCAACATAGTAAAAAAGACATCACTTTCATTTTCACCATTCTCATGCCCTAATTAGAATATATTGGTCTTTCCGCGCTAATTTCTACAAATCTATTACAAATTTCACATTTAACGCGCTCCAATAAGACCCAGTTCTATATACTTCTGTGTTACATGTTATAAGGCTTTAATCTCTCCATGTGTCCAAATTCAAAATAACAATTTTTCCTAGTGCACGTTAGGGAACCTACGTTTTTTTACGCATTGTATATTACTTATTATTTAGTATCCAAAAGAACTTAATTATTATTTTTTATTTCGAAAACTTTTAATTAAGTTTGATGATAATAAGGAAGAAAACTAACATTTTTTAATAAAAACTTTACGAAATTTTTCTTCTAAACTATTCCTTGAACATTGTCACGTATTATTTTATTTTTATCCTCTAGGAAAGTATATTTTTTTAAAAAAAGGAAAATAATAAGTTTGGTTCGACCATCTTTGAAAAATTCTTATATTTGTTTTTGAAAAAAAATCGATATAAAAAATATAATTATAATTTATAGTCATTCAGGGTGAAATTTTTCTCATGGAAGAAAGTATTGATTCAGGATTTTTATAACTAAATTCCATAAAAATAATGGGATGTATTTTTTAGTCGAGGCGATTAAACAACCGTTCGGGATAGTGAGAACCGATACGAACAGCTGATCTATTTAAATTCTTTTAAGATCATTTTTTTAGTTTATTATCATGATCGTAATTTAAACTATATTAATCATTAAGATTTTAGATATTTTTTTTAAAAAAGGATCAGCTGTTAAATCGTGGAGTATCGGATCTCGCTATAATTTCAATCTAATTGGGTTCGATCCATGCCAATCACTAAAAACAGAATGACCCTTTATTTAGAAAAAATTTATATCTTTGCTATATTATGATAAATAAGGCACACTGCTTTCTATAGCCACCATGATAGCCCTTTCCGTCGTTATGGTACTGGGTGGCATGGGTCTCTTTTTTTCTCTTTTCCTCCTCTCTGCCTTTGTAATAACGTCGAAACTGCTCAACTTTTTTCGGCTTAGCGTCATTCCCCAATCAAGATGCCGGGCCCAATCACTTTACAAGTCCATTCATTCTCTCTCTGGGGGCACTTGTCCATTCGCCAATCACAATATATTAGGATTTTCTGGCGACGCCAATAATACCGCGGTAAAGGAAATCAACGATCCTAGTAATAATAACGAATTGGGCAGCGAAAAAAACAATGTATATCACATAAACTCGTCCAGTCACCGGCATATCAGGCCCGCTGGTGGACCCGCAACTACAAACTTTTAAAAGTGACAAAAAATAATATTCTTTCCTAGGATTAAATGGCCGCTTCCGTAATTTTTATTTCCATATCTCCTAGTGTCAATTTTGCGATAATTTTTTTTTTAAAAAATGAATCCACTTTTCCCTTTATTACCTAATTTGTCCACGTTTCGCTTTCGCCAAAATCATGATATGAAATATAAATCTCTTCTTCAAAACCACGACAAAATAAAATTAACGAAAATAAGTGTGATACAATTAATTATTTTAAAAATAAATTACCATTATAAATTTGGTCTTTTTTTTAAAAAAAATATATTATTTATATTTATATTTTATTTTTCCCTATAGTTCCATTAGGATAATTAGTTTTTTTTCTATTTAAAAAAAAATCATGTTCAAAAATAAATTTCTTTTCCAAATTATTGAAAAAATAAATATTTATTTTATTCACCCCCTCCTTCAACAATTGGCATACTTATTGCCGTGCGACAAGGCTCATATATTATCAGTATTTACTGCTAAAAAAAGTCATATTAATATAAACTTTTATATTGGTATCATTTCCAATTAGAGTTACCTATATTTTTTTTACACCTTATTATTATAATGAAATTATTCTTTAATTATTATTTTAGTGCATTACAAGTGAAATATTTTATTTCTTAAAAAAAAGATTTATATTTATTTTAAAAAAATGATTATAAATAATATAAAATATTATACTATAAATAATATATTAGTTATTTAAAATTTTTCCCCTTCATGGATTATTTTCATTTTGATCGATTTTACAACAACCACCCACTTTTTACAATAAAAGAGTAATTATTTTACGTATCCGCAATATGTTACACTATTATATTTTAATTTGTAAAGTATTATGACGTTTTTTCCCCTTCTCTCTTTTTTGTATATTTATAATATTAAAATCGATATTGATATTATAGATTCATTTGGAATTTATATACAATGATTTTAATCCTAATAAAATATGATTGTTGTAAAACAGGTTTTGCGGAATAGGAAGGGCTGAGGGGAGAGAAATGAATACTAAGTACTTTCCTTGTGGAGTTTATAAAAAAAATGATATATATATAATTTTTTAAAAAAAATAAGCAATAAAGATGACTTAGATTAAATTTAAAATTTACCGCTTATCAGAGTGGAGCTAGCTCTTATTTAACCTCGATGATTCATTGAGTCTTATACGTAGGTGTAACCCATGCAGATCTGCAAAGGGGGGGGTGAAAATTTTTTTTGTTCAGGATTTGGCCGGACCGGACAAAATACTATGATTTTTATTCGCCATTTTAATAGGGATCCGGCAATTTATTAATATCGGTTTGTAAACGATATTTAAAAAATTATTTAAAAATTGATATTGCTTGCATGCATACCTAATATTTTGCATAATTTTTTTTTGAAATAATTTATATATTTTGATTTTATATTTATCGTATAAATAAAAACAAATATTGCGATATTAACCCTTAAAGATATAATTAAATCGAACGCGGATGAGATAATCTTGTTTACATGATTTAAAGTCATTTTTAGGTTTTGGATGATTGAATCGAATTTTAATACAAATATTTTTTTTGGCATGCATTATTAATAAGAAAGATATTATTTAATTTATAATAAATAACCATAAATTATTATATCTGGTTATTAAAAAATAAAACTCAATGCAGAAATAAAAATTATGATTTTTTAAATCAAGATGGAAAATTAAAAAATAAGTGAAGAAAGATAATATTAATGTTATATGGAATCGAATGAGATCGCTTCCATGATCGCTTCCATTTTAATTCGAAGATGAATCAAAAGTACCCCAATACTTTTTATATCCGATACCGGGCAGTGGCCCATTTTTCGCATAAAACACCCATCAAGTTTCCAACCCGCATTTATCTTTTATTTAATTTCCCCTTGCTATGCCTCCTATATCGTGAATCCTAAATATTTATAACCACTTATTAATTATAGCGTCCATTTTCCAATGATTATCTCTTTATCATTAATCATCTTGTACAGGTGTTGTTGGGAGGATGGCTAATAATTTCGCTCAAATAGTGCGCGCCAAAATCCGTTAATCATTAAGGCCTAAATTTATTTAAGCTTTCTTCAAAGTCAAACATATTTTCAAAATTTAATAAAAAAATCCAAAGCTGAAGTTGGTAGTTTTCGGTTTAAAACTAGATTTATGCTGAAAATGGAGAATTTATAAATTACAAGTGGTGTCAAAAACTTCTTTTCATGCTCTTTTTTAAAAAAACGGCTAAATAAATATTTTAGTTCCAAAAATATTACCTCCGTCTCGAGGATTGGTCAAGAGGGCCAAGCCTTTCTGCCATCTTATATGCAAAATCTCGAAGATTAGATAATATTTTTTTCCCTTAAAATCTGATTTAGTTTACAAGACGCTTGAGGTTTCAACATTAGTTATAACGCAAGGCTTTTTAATTTATTTTTTCGTCAAACAGCAATTTTTGAATTATCAAATGAATATTTGCTGGAATCTATGTGCAAGTCTTTTAAGAATATACGGGAAGCTCATGTCAGGTAGGCAATGTGTGGTGTTATAATAGTAAGATTTAGAAGCATTCCCCCCCCCCCCAGAAATTTAAAATAAAATTAGCGCTCGGTACAGTTATCCCAACCAGCGGTAAAATTTTTTATCAGTCGTAAGATATATTATATACATATCTGGCCCATAATAAAAAAATTTAAGAAGGAGAAAATAAATTTTTCAATTATATAATAAAATTCCCCCAAACTCCGCCAAAGATTAACCCGCTTAACAGCTAAAAGATCAAGAATTTCAAAATACCGAGGCCCATAGGCTTATCCAGGTTTTTGGTAAGGGAGAAGGGAAGTTACTTTTAGGTTTTTTTCCGCTATAAATTTTAAAATTCTTTAGGTCTACTCATTATATAACACTGGCTATATTCGATTTTAATAAAAATAATTTACGGTTTTCACTTTTTTTTCTAATAATTTTATAGTCATTAATTTAAAAATTTATTAACTTTTATTAATTTTTCTTTCAAATTCTTTTTTAAAGTGATATACTGTATAAAGTTTTAGGAGAGAGAGGGGGGGGATTGACTTAAAAATGTTTTTACTAAGACAAATTTGCCATGCCCACCACTGGTTATGCGCCTGCTATGATCTTTCAGATTTTATTTCATCCTAATAGTTATTTCTACCATTGGATTCTTGACTCCCCTAACGATTTTAGGTTAAAATATTTTCTCAAATCATGGGTCATCTTAATATTATACAATCAACATGCCATTGCTTTTAATAAAATATATTATTTAAAATATTGGTCCAGAAACACCATATAATCCTTAATAAAATAAACAAACTGGTAATAGACTACACAATCGCTTTGAAGAAATGTATCTGGAAATGACCTTGTATGTTTTTTTAAAAATTTATACAGATATCTGTTATGTTTTAAATAGTTTACATGTTTTTTATATTTAATTTTTATATAATAATAGTTTTATTTTATATAATGTTATTTCTAATATATTTTTTTAAATAAATGAAATATTTAAATTTAAAATTACAATTAGGAAATAAATTTATAAGAAAGACTAGCATCTTGCTATTTTCAACTCTAAAACAACGGGAATTCATTTAGCCGGATTTAAGAAAAATTCAGTCATGAATGTATTTTTTTTAACCATATTTTAGCATTTTTAATCTCAATTATCTAAAAAAACGACTACAATTGTTAGGAAATTTTAGTATATTTTAACAAACTACCGATATTAAAACATTAGAATTATTTCAAAATGCGATGTTCTTTTTGAACTGTATTGGAAGACAGATTCCTTCCCTACCCAAAGATCAAAAAAATCCAGATATAGATTAAAACAATTTATGATTAATACCTCTACATTTTCGATTTATATTTATTATTTTCACAACAGAAAGAAATCTTGGCCTCAAAAATTCAAAAATAAAAATATTGGTGTTTGTAAATAATCATTTAAGGAAACCTAATCAATTAAATAAATTCTTGTTTCTTTATTCTAACCAATGAAACCACAGATATGGCGGGCATTGAGCAGATGTTATTGTGGGATACGATATCTAAATACTAAGAATAAAAAAATTATAGGAATTTTTCCACAATCATCAACTAAGGCCTGATTTAATATTTGAGAATCTTAAAAAATTCGAAATAATGATTAATCTCGTGAAAAAAATATGTTTTTTAAAAAATATATATTGTATATATATAATATAGCTAAATATAAATTTAATACGTGAATGTGATGAAGCACAACAAGATAAATCTTCGCCATTAAGCAGCACAGTTTTTACCCAGTTAGAAGAGTATTATAAATGCGCTTCCTGAAATAGCATAATAGCCTAGAAGAAAGATTTCGAAATCTAAAATTGTTTAATAAAGTATTTTATGCGATCGATCATCTATATCTCAACACCCCCCCCCCCTCTTCAGCAAATTCCTTGCATTGCGCCTGAATAAAAACTGTTTAAATTGATCATGAGTCTGAGAATTTTAATCAATTTTCGAATCATGTTTAGAAAAAGGTGTGAGCCTATTGGAAAATAAAAAGATAAAATATGCATATACTAAAAATTATCATTTATTAGAAAAAGATACAAAAAAAATAAATTTACGAACTGAAAAACAGGAAAACACGAGAAAATTTTCATTATTATTGATTAATTTTTTTTTAAATATATATAATAGCAAGAAATTATTTTTTTAAAAATTTTAGAAGAATTAATTTGATATAGGCAAAAAATAGAAAATCTCGGAAAATGCAGATTATTGCCCGATATCTCCACTCTACTTGGGCAAGGTGCAGGGGTTAACAAAAAATTGAAGACTTTTTTCTTTCGCACAAAATTTTAATCCTTGACGATTTTTGATTTTGAACAGTTTGTGAAACACTGGCAAAGTACATATCTGAAAATTGTAAGATATTTTATTATGAATAAAGATGATATTATAAATAAGTTGCTCACGTGATTAATAAAAACGATACATTATAAAATTTAGAAAAACATTAAATACACCATCTAGCGGATATTTATAAGAGTATTGATGATAAAAATTCTTTAAATTTAAAGATTTATCTAAATCGGCACGTTAACCAGTTGTCTTATCTATCATTATAGTATTGTTTAATAAATTATGATAAAATAGTAATTATTTTTAGAGGGATTTTTTTAGTTCTATTAGACCAGAATTAAATATATTTGGTAGGGATTTTAACTCAGATATAAGGAATTTAGCTCTGGTGGTAATAAAACAATCGATTTATCTCAGAATCAGAAGTATCTTTATTAAATCAAACAAAGGTAAAGTTTCCATAATATAATTTGAAAGTAAAAAAAATATATATCTAATTTTTTTATGAATAATTTTTTTGATCTTTATAAAAGAATAGATATTCTATTAGGCGATATATAAAGGTATATTTGTTTTCTTGTTAATATGTGTTTAATGAAAATAAATTATATAATTAACATAAACTATTACTATTATAAAATAAACCATAATACTACAATTTTTTTTAAAACGTCTACCATTTATATGTTTCTACATAATTATCTTAACTCCAAATTACTCGGTATATTTATGATATAATTTACTGGTGAAAATCACTAGTTTAATTTTTCAATAACTATTTATTTCTAATTTTATAATCGAACATAAATAGCATTACTTTTTTTGATTAATTTGAAGTGGACGCTTTCCTTTTTTGACGAACGCGTTCATTAGACGAAACCGTATAATGTTTCCGGAGTAATAAATAGGTGGCAATGAGCCTCCAATAAATTTTCTCGCATGTAGACTCTGCCTACATAATATTTTATTATTGTCAACATATTCCTACTGGTTTATTATTTAACATATCCTTCAATCAATAAAAAAAAATTAATTAATGATTAATTGGTAAAAGGACACTGAAGAACCTGATGGGAAAAAAAATATCCCAATTTATTATTTCTTTCATTGTAAATTACAATATTCTACCTCTTTTTTATTTAAACATTTAAAATATTTTGTTAAAATTAAACTAATACTTGCCTGCTTGTGTTGTTAAGTCGGCTTAATCCTAACGGTTGAAAAAATTCATTAAACCTTGAGGCAAGAGTATATTTTTATATCAAGATTGACCTATCCTTTAAGTTTGAACCCTAAGATGATAGTTTTTGCTTAAATATTTGGTTTAACCTTTTTAGATTTGGCTCAAAACATGCTAAATGGAGGGAGCCATTTATCACCACAACTTGCTTTTAGTGAACCTCACTCTATACTTTAAATAAAGTGGAAGCCTAGGGGATTTATAT